TGGGGAAGAAGCCATACATTTTGTTTTTATTGGATAATACTCGCTAATACTCGCTCTTTCAGTAATATCAAATACAAATACAAAAGTGATTGAATGAAATTAAGTTTATAAAGGCAAATTGTGTTATGTCGTTTCTATGTATGTATGACAAACAACTTTTCAGATAATATGTATCGAAGAAGAAGACTTATTTATTAACTATTAAATAGAACTGAATACAAATCAATTCAATATAATTCAGGCCTAAATGGCTTGATATGATGCGGCGAATCCCTTGTAGTTATAGCTCTGATCAGAAACCAAACTGATGAACATTCCATTAAGTTTGGATTCAAGAGTCACTCCACGCAGAGTATATCCACAATATCTGAAAGACGCAAAATATACAAATGAAAATGTTTGTTGGCGTTTGTTACAATATTCCAATTTGAACACAGTCTACAATATATCGCAATCTAACGTTGTTGTTTTATTATCTATAGGGCTCGGTATGTTATTTCTACTTTACTTTGATTGGCTAATGAAATAATTAACTACCAAACTGGGCGTGCGATTTTAATTACTTTACTTTACTAGTTCATTTCATGGAAACGTAAAAAGAATATATTCAACTGTGAGTAATTAAACGAAATTCACATAGATATATAACCAAGTGACGTCATGTATTACGAAAAGAGTGAGCACATTCGGGAACATCCTGCTCCGTCATACATCATTCAGAGACATAATCAAAGATGTACATTAGATACGTGACATAGATGCCTTCGGAAATGTGACTAATACCATAGTGGGCGTGGTGTAGATGCAAGTCAAAGTGGAATGTTACATACAGTCAGGAAGGAGTTACTCTCGCATGCGACAAAACGAGAGTTTGTGTCAAGGTTTTGCGCACGACACCCTGAACATTGTGATCTATCAGACATTTACAATATAGTTGAGTATAGAGTTAGTGTTTTCTATATGAATGGCAAAATATATCCGTAATAAAAAGTACGATACATACTTATTAGGGTAACCGTCAATAAACGGCTCACTTTGGCGCACTTCCAGGTAATCGAATGCACAGGACGACCCACCGTTTTCAATGTTGAAATCGGGACTAAATGTGACGGCAACTCGTGAGTCTTCCGGTACCTGCAATACGAATGGTCAGGTGGAACATTTCATACAGAAATATCTGAACATCCTCTTAAACATACCAATGAGGAAATCAGACAATCATATGCGTACGAATTTAAACATACATACACACAATTGTTTTACACGCATACAGTAGAACAAAATATAATGTTGTGACACTTTGCAAGTCATTTGTTGGGATATCTTGCAAATCATCTGTTGTGATATCTTGCAAGTCATCTGTTGTGATATCTTGCTAGTCATTTGTTGTGACATTTTGCAAGTCATCTGTTGTGATATCTTACTAGTCATTTGTTGTGATATCTTGCAAGTCATCTGTCGTGACATCTTGCAAGTCATCTGTTGTGACATCTTACAAGTCATTTGTTGGGACATCTTACAAGTCATTTGTTGGGACATCTTGCAAGTCATTTGTTGTGACATCTTGCAAGTCATCTGTTGTGACATCTTGCAAGTCATCTGTCGTGACATCTTGCAAGTCAACTGTCGTGACATCTTGCAAGTCATCTGTTGTGACATCTTGCAAGCCATCTGTTGTGAAACCTTGCAAGTCGTCTGTCGTGACATCTTGCAAGTCATCTGTCGTGACATCTTGCAAGTCATCTGTCGTGACATCTTGCAAGTCATCTGTCGTGACATCTTGCAAGTCATCTGTTGT